CTGCCCAGCATCAGAGCAGCAGTCCCCTGACAGATGGGCGGTGGCCTTGCCCAGAGATTGAACCTGGGTTTCCCACACGGAAGGGGGGAATCCTACCACTGGGCCACCAGTATGTCCACGAACAGCACGGAACCAGATCCCACTGAACCAACCCTGACCCACGTGTGCCAGGATGGGCCCACGGAGTTGTCAGGGGCGGAGTGGGGGCAGTAGACACCGGGCTTTTCTTCCCAGGTTCTTCTCAGTGGACAGCTGCGTGTGGGAGCTGCTGCAGCACCCCAAACCCAAGCTGAGTCTGATTCATCATGACACTATGGGGCAGAGTAGAACTGTCCCCTGTAAATCTGTATGGGAGCAGGCAGCCTCATCTCTCGCCTGAGGAGTGGCTGGTAGGTTTGAACTGCTGACCATTTCTCTCTCTCTTCTCTGTCACACACACACACACACACACACACACACACACACAATCTCCTCTAGCACTGCTCTCTGAGAGGCACCCACCCATCTCCCCGATGGCCGACAAAGCCTGAGATGGAGCTGCGGCTGGAGACCAAGAGTGCTGTCCCAGGCAGGGCCCCTGCACCTGCTTCCTGCCCCGCGCCCACCCAGGGCCCTGCAGGACACGCACCCCCACAGATCACCTGGCGCATCTTGGCCTCGTTGGCCAGCCTCAGCATGGTGAAGATGGTAGCCAGGGTGATGCCCATGTATGGCATGAACTCGAACACTGCAGGAAGTGGGAAGGGGTCAGTGGGAGGGGACCCCACCGCCCATCATGACCCCATCCAGGATCCCTTTTCATACGCCACCTCACGTCTCCTCCCCCTCGCAAGTTGCCGTATAACCAAACTGCCTGACATCAAGTCTGTGCCGGCTCATAGCGACCCTGTAGTCACTATAGGACAGGGTAGAACTGCCCCTGTGGATTTCTGAATCTGTAACTCTTCTCGAGAGTCGAAAGAGCCTCGTCTCTCTCTCCCATAGGACAGCAGGTGATTTCCAACTACTGATCTTGAGATTAACAGCCCAACACTACCAGGGTCCCCCCTGAGTGTTGGGGGTTGAACAACCCTTTCACAGGGGTCGCCTGCTTCATAACAGTAGCAAAATGACAGTGATGAAGTAGCAACAAAAATAATGTGATGGTTGGGGGGTCACCACAACATGAGGAACTGTATGAAAGGGCCACAGCATTAGGAAGGTTGAGAACCACTGTTTGAGCTTGAATTTGAGCTTGAGATAGAGATACAGATCACTTCCACTCCTCCCAACCCTCTCATGCCCACTGTGTCCAAACGTTCATCCCACCATGAAATTTGTCTTCACCAACAACCTTCTTTAGCCTTTTCCTACTGGCCGCTCAGCAGAACTGCACACAGCTGGCCACTCACACCCTGGACTTACCCTCCTCCTCCCAGATACCAGACGCTACCTTGGCCAAACCTTTCTCCCATCTCCTCTCCCACCTTCCTCCTAAGTCAAATGTTGGGTCTCCCCTGGGCTGGGTCCTTGTTCCCCTGTCCTCTCTCACTATGTTCATTCTTTAAGGGTGACAGCCTAAGGCTTTACTCCCTTTCTCTTCCTCCTCCTCCTCCTCCTCCTCCTCCTCCTCCTCCTCCTCCTCCTCCTCCTCCTCCTCCTCCTCCTCCTCCTCCTTCTTCTTCTTCTTCTTCTTCTTCTTCTTCTTCTTCTTCTTCAGGATTTGTGTTGTGAAGTGGGTGAAGGTGTACAGAGCACATCAATTTTCCACTCGACAACTCATACCCATTTGGTTTCATGTCATTCACTGCAATCCCCTCAGTGGACCGTCCCTTACCCAACTTTCTCCCTGGGCTTCCTGTCTCCACGCCTCCTCCTTTCCTAGCCCTTCAGAACTCTGTCCGTGGCTCAGTGCTGCCCCTTTGATCTCAGATGATGCTACGGAATGTGTGTCTTGCGGACCTGACTGTGGTTTGGTTGAAATGGATCTATGAGGGTGAGTTCATTCCCAGACCTGAGGGATGCCAAAGACCTATAATCTCAGGGTTTCTACCAGTCTCTATCCAACCAGCAGGGGCTATTTTTTTGTTGTTTGTTTAGGATTTTGAGTGATTCCATGTTTTCTTCCCACTCAATCCAGGACCTTCTAATGTGATCCCATTCAGAGCAATGGGCGGTAGTACCAGCACATCTACCCTAAGATTTCTGAATAACTTTCAACACCCCCATACTTGGTGAGGACATCCCAAATGATGCCAAACCCAGTACTGTCCTCTTCACCCTGGAACCATGAGCCAATCCCCCAAGCCCCCACCCCACTTCAACATCTCCACTGAAACCTCTCACGAGCAGTTCAAACTTAGCACGTTGACCCACGGTTGTCAGTGGAACAGATGCTGATGCACAGTGACCCAAAAGGGCAGGCTCCGGAGGGTTCCCAAGGCTGTGAACCCAACAGCCTCATCATCTCCCACAGAGCAGCGGGTGGCTTCAAACCACCGACCTTTCTGCTAACAGCCCTTTCTGCTAACCACTGGGCCACCACAGTGCCTTGAACCTGACACAGAAACACAAGCCCATGGAGCCTAGAGACCCTACAGAGGGTCTCCAAGACCGCAGCTCTTTACAGGAGCAGACGGCCCCACCCACCTGCTCTGGGGTTTGGAGCCAGGGATCTGTCGGCCCGTGCTGAACCCACTGTGCCACCACACATACGTCCTAGACAATGCAAACTTGATGCATCCACAGCCAGAGTCTTTCCTTTCACCCCCAAACTCCCCCCTCCCCTGGTTTACCGCAGGAGACAGACACTGATCACACCCCAGTTACTTCCACCCCAAGCGGGAGTCCTTCTCTTTCTGGCATAGACTTTGTGACCCAGAGACGGGAAAATGGTGCGGGAAGGACATGGTTGCCACGTGCCCCCAGCCACCACCCAGGATCGTGGTTGCCACGTGCCCAGGTCACCCCCCGGGATCCCCAGCACCCCCCGTCCCTCCCTACTCCTCCCCCCTCAGGCAGCTCATCAACACGCTCTGTTGAGTTGGGCGCCATCCTGTCTCCCGAGCAGGCATCCCTCACCAGACGTGCCCTTCTCCCGTTTCGCACCTGTCCGTCCTCCATTCACACCCAGCCACGAGGGTCTTCCCGGAGCCTGAATCCAATCCGTTGGCTTTGCCGTTTACGTTCCTTCAGGAGCTTTTCCCATTGCCTTCGAAAGGGCCTAGTGCCTTCCCATGGCCACGAGGCCCTGCCTAGTTCTTCAACCTCATTTGACACCCAGCCTCCTCTCCCCACTCTAGCGACAGCCATGGTGAAACCACGCTGGTTTCCTGCCCCCGCATCTTTGCTCATGATGCTGCCAGAATGAGGAACGTCTCATCCTCCTGGCGCCCTGTGCAGTTTTCCAAAGGGGATCTTAGATGAGGCTCCTCCTCCAGCCTGATCTGCTTCCTTCAGAAGCATCATCCGATCACCGTCAACTTACTGCTTGACTTGTTGATGGTGCTTTGTGAGAGGCAGCCCAGCACCCACCACAAGGCCTTGCATTGAGCAAGCGTTCAGTCTATGTTTGTGGAAGGAAGGTAGATGGGAGATATGCGAGGGGAGGGGGGAGAAGAGAGGAGAGAGAGAGAGATGGGGACAGCAGGGAGTAAGTAGAGGAGATGGAGCGAGACACATGGAGAGGGAATGGCAGAAGCACAGAGATACAGAGTCTTCACAGTTGAGAGGGACAGAAAGCTCATGGAGACGGGGTAGCAGAGTCAGATGGGGACAGGGAGCTGGAAAGCGTGGAGCACAAACACCCAGGGGCAGGGGCTCTGTGGGAGCATTTGGACGAGCTGGTGTCTGGAGCATGCGGACTGCGGAGAGACTCCTACCGTTGCCGTTGGCCAGCTTGGCCAAGGTGACGATGACAAACTCATCAGAGAGGTTGAGGGGCTTGAGGTGGTGCTGCAGCTCGTACATGACCAAGCTGAAGTGGTTTCTGGACAGAGCCACCAGGGTGTCGCTGGCCACCTCGGCCCTCACGTAACCTTCCACCTGCAGGAAGATGGTAGAGAGGTCTGAGGTCCCACCGTTAGCTGCGGGCCTTCCTACAAACCTTCCTCTACCCCTGCTGGGCTGCCCTGGGCTCAAGAACACCCCACAACCCTGAGCCACGTCCAAATGGCCCCAGCCCCTGGACCAGCAGAGGGAGGGAACCAATGGGGTCCAGGGTTCTGCTACCTCCGGGGCCTCCCTCATCTCCTTGGAGGCAATGCCGACCAGCCTCTGGACACACTGCTCCTCCAGCTCCCCTTCCTGCTGGATGATCTCCTGCAGGATGTTGTAGACGTTGACCTTGCGCTGGGTGGAAGTCTGGGAAACAACATGGCGGGTGGAAAGATACCTGACGGGGCTGTCAGGCTTGGGGATGGGCCCTGCCCCACCCCAGCACTACAAGTCCACCGAGGGGCATGCTCATCACCTTCTCCCTTCCAACTCCTCTTCCCTCTGAGGATATAACTGGGCAAATCCAGGGCGTTATCAAAGCTGTACCCACACAACATCATCTTCTTGGGGATGACGCTCATGCCATCGGGCATGATGGGCCGCTTTTAAGGAGCAAGGGTGGACTTTACATCAGGCAGGAAAGCGGCCTGCCCCCCACCCACCCCAGGGTGGTCAGGAAAATAACATCCTGAGAGCCCAGCCACCTCAGTCAATGTGGGGTCTCTGAGAACAGGGAACCCATCCACATGCACAGGTTCGACCAGGTAAACGTCTGCAGAGTGAGCCTTGGTCTTGATTTCCTTGTCTTGGGTCCTTACGGAAACTCCTGGACCCCCCGTGTGTCAGAATGGACCTGTGCGCCACCGGGTGTCCAAGGGCTGATTCCTTCCAAAGCAGTTCTCCGGGTCTTTCTTTTGGGGCACCTCTGGATGGACTTGAACCACCAGCCTTTTGATTAGCAGTCAAATACACTGATCATTTGCACCATCCAGGGATGCCACCACCACCACCCATCCCCAAGCAAAAGGCTTAAGCATGGTCCAGAATCCAGAGGCTCTCCCAGTGCAATCCACACACCAGCAGCAACAAGATCTCCTGGGAAATGATTGGAAATGCTGGTTCTCAGGCCCCATCGTGAACCCGGTGTATCTGAACCTCTGGGGTGGAACCCAGGAATCTGTGTTTGACGTGCCCTTCAGTTGCTTCCAATTCGCCCTGAAACATGAGAGTCGCTGGTCCTACCGCTGCCCATGCAGACAAGGTCCCCCATGATCTCAGGCTACGTTTCTTCATCATGCCCGTCAATGCCCTCTACCCCAGCACCACATGCTGTCTGCAGTCTCCCCACTGGCCAGCCACCCCTGCCTTTTTCCACGCTGTCTCTGCATCTGGTGTGCTGTGGGCCCTCCAGCCTACCAGGCAGGCTCTTGCTCAGCATCTTTGCAACTAAGCTCATGGGCTCTGAGAAGATGGCTGAGGTAGTTAGTTTATTGTGCCAACCTGGCCGATAAGCACATGTGGGGTTACTTGAAGGGCGGAGGGATAAATGGCTCCGTGAGCCTTGCCTTTCGAGTTCTTGGGTCTCTTGCTTTCTGATGGTGGGACCAGGGTGCAGCTGCCTTAGCCAGTTCCCTGCTTTAGCTGGCAAGGCTTACTTCCTGCAAGACGTCCCTGAGGAGAAGCCACATGGACCTACCCCGATGCAGCCCTGGGTGCTGGAGCAACCGTGTGGAGACCCCTGCCAGCACTGAGATGCTTACACATTCACTGATTCGGCTTTCCCCCTGCAGTCGGCATCATAGTGTGTGTTTTGTGAGATGGAGGAGGACTTTGTGGATTGGTGTTGGACATATGGGTTAATGGGTTAGTGTTGGACTTGTGGGCTTGGGCAGCACTGGGTTGGGATGCTTTCTTGAGACACACTTAACCTTTATATAAAACTCTCTCTTACACATGAGTTTCTGTGGATTTGTTTCGCTAAAGTTCCCAGACTTATACACTGGCTGACTAGCCCACTGTGTCAGCATCGGGGCAATCTTTTCCAGCCTCTGAAAGCCCCAAGCTCCAGCCCCACCAGAGATTCGGATTTGACCAGCCTGCTGGGTTCTTGGCTGAGGTCGGCACGCTTGATGCCAACACAAAGGCAGAGGCTTGCGTGCACCCAGAAGAGGCCAGAAAGAAAGGGCAGGAAAGCGATGTCCATGAAAACCCCACGTGGCGCCCTGGAGGACACAATTGCCCTTTGATAATCCTTACACCTTACACGAAAGCTATCCCCCATGGTCTTCTTAAAGGAGCGGTTCTCACCTGTTGGTCATGACCCCTTTGGGGGTCGAATGACCCTTTCACAGGGGTGGCCTGATTCGTAACAGTAGCAAAATGGCAGTGATGAAGTAGCAACAAAGATAATTTTATGGTTGGGGGAAGGGGTCACCACAACATGAGGAACTGTATGAAAGGGTCACGGCATTAGGAAGGTTGTAAAGCCAAATAATAGGTTAGTTAACTAATATCAAAAAAGGTCTGCCCTTGTAGTTAAGTTAAAATGTACTATCTTATCATCTGACCTCCTTTGGGCCCATTTTAAAGTTGTCTCTGTTTTTTAAAGATGGGGATGCAGCCTCGGGGAATGCTCTCTGACCACAGAGCAGGGGTGCAACTAACCTTGCTGTCATGCAGAGTGCATGGGGAAGTGATGATTACAGACGCAGTTAAGCTAAACGTTAGCTTAAAATTTAGTTAAAATATCATTCAAACTCCCTTCTGACCCATTTTTAAATTTGTTCCAGTTTTTAATAGTTTCTGCTTTCTCTTCGACTGAGGTTTTTATCTGCTTACTACGTTATTGCTGTCATTTCCTTATAACGTTTTCCTGCATGGGAAACCCAGGATGAGGAAATCTATAGAAACAGGAACTGGGTTAACGGTTCTTTGGGGGTTGGCAGGGGAGGTTGGGGGAAATGGGAGCTAGTGACGATGAGTGCAAGCATGATGGGAATGTTCTAAAACTGACTGTGGTGATGAGTGGACAACTCTTCTGCAAGGGATGGAATCCACGCCAATAAAACTGTTAGGGGAAAAAGCCAGCCTTGAACACTATGGCCCCCTGAGAACTCTCGCTAGTTCTTAGGATCAAACTGACAAGGGCAACTGGAAAGATGCGATAAGCAACGTGGGTGAGGATGCATTTTGGTTAAGGGAGGAAGCACGATTTGGAAAGAGAGGGGGAGAATGCTGGCAGGACCTGAAGGATGGAAGCAATATCATTGGTGATGTGACCGTACACTGAACAGGTGGACCCCATCCAGCTGGCATCTCCTCAACAACAGCCAAAATGAGCCCAATTCTGAGCCAAAATTATGTTGCAAACAGGAAAGAAACCCTGACGGAGCACAAATCTGTTCTGACACGGTGTCACCAGGAGTCTGGGTCAACTGTCTGGTCAACAGTTCGGTTTAGGTTTGGGATCGAGGAGGAAAACTCCTCCTGCCTTGCCCTTCTGGGTTCTAGTGTCTGGTCCTGGCTAGTAACTGCTGAGTGACAGACGGGTGGCTGAGCTTCGAGGAGGGTCGGGGACCAAGGAGCCCTACCTCGGGCACCTGCAGACAGCGGATGAGAGCGTTCATCACCACAGAGGGTTTGCTGTTGGCCTTCTCTGTGATGATCACCGAGGCCAGCGCCTTCCGCATGTCCGGGCCCACCCACTCGGCGTCCGTCTTGGCAGACTCGCTCTCCATGATGGTCAGGAGGTTCGTGACTTGTTGGAAAGTCTCTGAAATGAGGGTGGCACAGGTGTGGTGTCGAGATGGCCCTCAGAGGAGATGGTCCCATGCCCCCAATCTCTCTTCCACCAACAGCTTCGCCTTCACCACCGTGCCCCCTCTTACCCCCATCCACTTGTTCAAGAAAGTCCTGGTCCTCGGTCTCCTCAGACACATCCTCATTGGAGTCCGCTGCTGCTTCTGCCATCTCTGCCGCAAGCCCTTGAGAGGAACCAGGTTGGTGAACTACATGGTTGGGGAGACCTCCCTGTGATGCCCGCCCCCCCCCCCCAGGGGCCGTGCTCTTCTCTGCATGTCTCACCTTGAACACAGGTAGAGCCTGTAACTCGGGTCTAAGCAATACAACGAGGCACAGGTGATCAGATGTCACCCTCACCAGTGGGCTTTAAGATTTAAGACTCCCTCAGGGGAGCCGGAGCGAGAGTTTCCTGCTGGCTTTAAAAGGAAATAAAGCCACAAAGTAAGCTAGCTACCCTGGGAGAAGTCAGTGAACTGCAGGTGGTCCCTGGGTGCTGGGTTCCTCAGTCCTATAACTAGGAATGTGGGTCAACGCCAGGCACTGCAGGCGTCACTCACGCAACTAGGGCCTGAATTCTGCCAACTACTCCCTGAGCCTGGAAAAGCACCCCAGGTTCCAGAACCTACCACAGCCGGGCCAATATCTGAGTCACAGCCTTGGAAGCTCCCCGAACAAAAACCCCAGTCAAGCCATGCCCGGAACTGCAAGGTCATAGACGTGCATTGCTTTGTGCTGCTGTCTGTGTGTGTAGTGAGTTGCTACCATTGATAAACTTGGTTAAGAAGTTGATAGACTTGGCGGAGATGTGCTCTCCCTCATCTCTAACCACCACCCCACCCCACCCCCAGAAAAGCCACTGCCATCAAATCAAATCATAGTGATCTTTACAGAATAGAACTGCCCTTGAGAGTTTCCAAGACTGTAACTCTTCAAGGGAGTAAAAACTCTTGTCTTTCTTCCGAGGAGCATCTGGTGGCTTTGAACTGCTGACCTTTCATCACCAGGGCTCCTTCGCCGAAGAGCAATCTAGCCCAGTAGCTCTCAGGCCGCTTCTGAGAGGATCCCTCAAGTCAGGAGCATCTTTGGGGCCGACAGGCACCAGCACCGGCCTCAAGATGAGGGATTCAAGACTCCTACATCCTTTCTGTTTTCCGCCCAAGTCCCTTCACCCCAAAAACCCTTCCCTGGGGTCCTTCACCGCCCTGTTCCATTACTCTCCCAGGAATTCATCACAAACCCACTCTAGGCCTTTAACACTGACCTTCTCTCAGAGTCCTTTTCTGTGCAGAAGGGGGAAAATACCGCTAGAGAAAATGTGGTTCTCCACCAAATCCACATCAGAGGGAGGGCGGACAGACAGAGGCAGGAACCACTCTTGGGGAAGCAGACAGTCGGCTGCTCAGTCTTCACCCGGAGGAGGAACTGGTCTCCCGAGGTTTGGGACGAGGCTTTCTTAGAACCATCACCGTTAGGTCCCGGGCTCTTGGAACTTTGAGAACCAACTGCCTCCCTGACTCTCCCAGCCCAGGGCGTTGAGGTATGTACGGGCTCTGTGCTATGGAGCCGTTTGGATTGCACTGTCCGCCTGGGCGCGAGGCACTCTGGGGAAGGGAAACCCTGGGAGCTCACAACCAAGTCCCCTGGGAGGTCCCATCAAGTGGCCCAGGATGGGGAGAGGGTGTGGTGGGGCAGCTGGAGAGGAGGGGAGGGGATGGTGGACCAGGGAAGATGAGACCACTCCCTGGGACTGGATGACCGACAGGATGGAGAAGTGGGCTCCTGCCAGCAGAATCTTGGGGACACAGGGGACCTTAAAGACAGTTGTCAGGGAAAGGGCCCTGTTTCCCTGAGTCCAAAGCGGCTGACTCCACAGTCACATCAGTGAGGCATCAGCTAAGTCCACACTGAAGAAGTATACCAGCCTGTGCGAGCCCAGGATGGTCAAGAACGAAATCCAAGACCAGAGGAGAGAACCATATTAGAGCTTAAAATCTGAGCACCCAGTTTGCAGAAGGCTGTGGATGCCAGCGAAGGCCTAAAGTCTATTTGCAGGGTCCCCACATGGGTGAAGCATCTGGGGAATCCCCTCTGACCTTTGACCAGGGATGTGAATACCCATGCTACCAGGCAGAGCTCATTGGGAAATGAATTGGTGCAGATGTCGTTCGGTTAAAATGTGACATCTTATCACGTGTTCCTCCCTTTGACACATTTTGAATTTGCTTTATTATTTTGAATTTGCTTTATTATAATTAGCTTTATTATTGAATTTGTCTTCACTATTTTCTGCTTTCCTTTCAACTGAGGTTTTTCCCTGTTTGAGTTGGTATTGCTATCAGTGTTTTTTGTTGGCTGGGTGTATATGTTTTTCTGAATGTGAACTCCAGGTTCTGTAGATCTGTAGAGACAGGACAGTAACTGGATGCATAGTTTCTTAGGGTTATGGCAGGGAGACTGGGAGGAAATGGAGCGCTAATAACCATGAGAACGCGAGAAGAAAATGCTCTAAAATCGATTGTGACGATGATCGCACATCTCTTCTTAATTTAATTAATTAATGAAACCATTAAATTGTTGTTTTTTTTAAGTGGGCTGAAGAATTTCCACATCACCAGTAGCTTTGAAGGAACCCTGGTGGCACAGCGAGTGAAGCACTGGGCTTCCTACCTCAGTGTCAGTGGTTCAGACTCACCTGCAGCTGCACGGGGGAACGATGCTCTCTGCCACCACAACAGTGTTGTCTTGGAAACGTGAGGGGCGATTTTACCCGGCTCTATACGCCAGCATTGGACTCGGCAGCAGAGGGTTTGGTTGGAGTTTGTCGCTCTGACAGACAGACACATACTGACCTCGGGGACTATTTCTGTGCCTGAGAGGACCCCGCACAAGGCACAGAACCAACCTGGCTAAAAATCCCATTCCATTTTCCTGGCAAGGCGTCATCGTGGGTTGTGCACTGGGCTTCAGCCCACACAGTCAGCAGTTTGACACAACCAGGTGCCCCTCAGGAGAAAGATGAGGTTTTCTGCGCCTGTAACGATAGAGCCTCGGAAATTCACAGGGGAGCTCTGCTCTGTCCTGTACGATCAACACGAGTCGGAATCCACTCGATGGCATTGAGTTTGCGTTTCTGGTTCGGGCGAGGTGACAGCCCCTCAGCCTCTCTTTGGAAGCCCCCGTGCTTCTCCTGGGATGAAGGGAAGCCAAGATCACCCCAGGTGGCTTCTCATTCTGACAAGCAAGGGACTCTGAGTTGTCACAAGAGCATTGATGCAGCGGTGCGTTAGGCCAGACTGACAAGAGAAACAAAGCATGACACTTAATCTTCTCCAGAAGAAAGAACTTTATATAAAGAAGTACTCGTGTATCAGGAAAATGTCCCAGCCCAGTCCAGATCAAGTCCAGAAGTCTGATACGAGTCCATAAGTCCCTCCTCAGACTCACACTGCCACATGCAATGATGCAGAATGCAGGAAGATCACAGGCCGGTGGTTGCAAATCTTGGGGATCTGACAAGGGTGGAGGCATCTCCAGGACTCTCATGGGCCTCAGTGGCTCCCAGCAGGGAGGTGATACAGAGAGAGAGGGGAAGTTCCCAGATCCTCCTTGTGAGCAGACCATGCCACCCAGGTGGCACCATCAGGAAAAAAGCCTAGCCTTTCCCTGAAAACCCACAGCGGGGGTTCTATAGCCCTGTGGTGCCCGAAGGCCTGGGTGCCCAGAGGGCCTTCATGGAGCATTGACATCCTGTGTCTGGCTCAGGAGGCCCAGGGGTGCAGTGGTTAGTACCTGGCTGCTAGCCAAAAGCACCATGGCTCAAACCAGTGGGAAAGCTCTGCTCTGTCCGAGAGGGGATCCAGGCATTGGACTCACCTGGATGGCAGCGGCCTCTGCTGTTTGGTTTGTTGCTGGCCTGTGAGGCCACCAGAAGGTCACAAACACGCCTGCTGGTGGGAGGCCCTGTGTCAAGCACCCTCGTGTCCCTGGTGGGATCTCTCTAGATCTGTGTGGTTTACACGGGCTCCAAGCCTCCCAGCGGGGTGCAGCCCCCTCTGCCCACACGAGCCGTGCCAACTCCCTGACAGCTTGACTTCCCCACACCTGTGTATCTGTCCCCCACCCCCACCCCCGCCCTGCCCCCCAGAGAAGCCAAGTGTCCTTGCATCTTCATCTTGGGGTCAGCTCCTGGGGGTGAGGGGTGGGGAGGGCGGCTCATGAAGCACTTGCTCACAGAAATCATGGTGACTCTTCACCAAGACTCAGCTCTCTGGAGACTGAATGAGGACTCGCTCCACGTGAACCCTCCTGGAACCCATCACCACAGAGCCAGTTCCAACGCCTGATGGCCCAGCGGCGCAGTGGGTGGGTTAAGTGTGG